TTTAGTGAAAAATCATATCTTGAAATTAACTTGTAGGGGAGAGAGGAAAAAATCCGTCACTATTTGCCCCCCTTCCCTTAAACACAATTTTTCAAAATGATTATAAATGTTTAATTGTCACCATGCCGTTCCGCTTTTCCGCTCAAAATATGCTCCATGAAAATTAAGAAATCAAAACAGACGGAACGGAACGCGCGGAAACGCGGGAATCTGGTAAAGTCTAGTTAATTTTGTCCCCCGTGTTCCCGTGCTTCATGTACTCTGACTGTGTGCACCTGTCATCCCTTCGCCAAACTTAAATTAACTTCGGGGTTGCGGCGCGGTATAGCTTTATCCCTCCGCTTTTAAGCCTCGCTTTCATTATTTTCTTATAATTTGCAGCAACCCTTCGCGAGCATCGCGGCTACCTTGAAAAGGCTACCTACAATGATTCCCGCCTTCGTTTCTCTTCGCGTCTACTGTATGTTATGTGTTGCACTGGTATTTCGTGACGCGTTTTAGTACCGCGAGACCTACTGTAGCACTGGACGCGATGGTTAGGACGTAAACTAATTAGTTTCAATAATTATTTACAGAAAATATAAATAAATACGAAAAGTGCCTTTTGAAAAAAGGACCGAGACTTGTTAATATACTTCTTACTTAATGTATCCTTGCAAGCCATGCACTTTTTTGAAACGCAACTTCAATCAAGACGTAATACGTACCTGGAGCGTAAAGGTATGCGATGCATGCGCACAGGAATCCCAATGACATATTGCGTAATACACCTGATATACGCTTGCAAGCACTTAAGAGTATCGATATGGCTGGAGTAACGAGTACGGCAAATGCCAAACCTATCAGGATCTTGACTGAAAGATACAAGAGTCATTATGATCGCGCATATTTTCTCGAGGGATAAATCAAATATGATAAGTTGTATTGAATATATATTGTTTAATTGAAGCGTTTCGATAAAAATTGATGTACTATATGTGTATATTACTTGCAATCGTCCTGTGATCGTCAGTATACGTTGCTATAATGTATCCAAAGACACCACCTGTCATAGAACTCGCTAATAAACCGTCTATAAAAGCACATTTATGCCCGATAATAGTTGACAGACAACCTGTAATCAGGACCAAGGCGCAAACTATCCCTGCAAATGTGTCATCTAAAAAAAAAGACGAAGAGAGAGAGAGAGAGAGAAAGAGAGACAAATAATTATATTAACCTTTTGTGAGACACTTAATGTAATTGTTCAAAGTTAATAATGTAATTTTTCAAAGTTATAATGATAGTCGCATGTTTGAGAAGACAGAGAAAAATTATTGTTTGAAGAATAATATTCGTACTTTTACAATACTATCTCATTAAAAAAAGAGGCATAATTCTATCGTGAAATGTATACGTTTTACGCAAAAATATATAACGTTTTAAATAGATTCAAATATTATCCGTTGTCGTCATGTTGAAATATAAAATAGTGATTTGAAAAAAAGTGAAGAAACGTACTTAAAACTTGACAACTCTCCGGATGAAGCAGAGGGCTGCAAGCGTATGTAAAAATCGGGACGTAAGCTGAGGAGTAATTTTCGTAAGTAGCAACCGCGGCATAAACCGATCCTGTGCCGGCGTACGCACTGTAGACACGTCTCATGGAATCCGTAAGAGCACCTACTGGTATCTGCCAAGAAATATTCTTAATTATATTCAGTATGAATTTTAGGCTTAAAAGAAATAAATCAATGAGTATAAAAAAGTAATGAACTCACAAGTTCCCTGGTGAAAAGAAAAAATCAGAGCGTAAGTCGAACGTGTAAGGGGAGAATGACAGAAGCGTAAACAAAACTTCTAGGAGGCGAAAATTAGAACAGCGGAATGTAAAAAAAGCGTAAAACCTCAATTTTCATCAGCGTTCATTTATACCTTTCGAACCGTATAAATGTTATATCCATGTTTGTCAGATTGTCAAGTCATCGTAACATCTTTTAACTTTTTGACTTCACTGCTTAAGTATTTTTCCAAACACTTAATAAGCGAACTTTGATTATAAATATGGATTAGATGACAAATTGATTAACACGATTAACTCTCACATTTCAATGGAGTATTTTACCGAATTTTCGCGATTCAATTCAATAATATATAAGACTCTTAGATTTAAACAATTAGTAATTAGGATAGACACTCGGAGTCAATAACGCGGTAATTAGTGCGTGATTAATTTAATTTTTAAATACAATATTATTTAATACATCGAACGTCACAAAAATAAAATTTAAAAAATTATAAAGATTAAAATGTAATTGACGCATTCTTGCAGCCAGCGTAAATTAAATTCAATAATATATATGTATGTATAAAACTCTTAGATTTAATTACTAATCGTTTAAATCTAACAGTCTTATATATAATTATTGAATTGAATTTACGCTAATTGCAAGAATGCGTCAAACACATTGTAAACTTTAATTTTTTCAATTTTATTTTTGTGACGTTCGATGCATTAAAGAATATTGTATTTAAAAATTAAATTAGCCACGCACTAATTACCGCGTTATTGATTCTGAGTGCCTATGCTAATTACTAATCGTTTCGCGATTCATTTTGTACTAAGGATGACTCGAGTAAGAGTCGAAACGTTTGCGCTCTAATTCGATTGATTAAGATATATTTTATTTAAACACACTTTACACCCTGTGTCGGTATTGGCTTTTTTATTCTCATTGTCTTAATTATATGTTGATTCTTTTTAATCATTATCTGATGCATTCTACGAAGAGTGGTAATCACTGTTAGCGAATCCTTGCAGATTACTATACCGTGTGTGTATAGAATATGAATAAGCGGAAGCGCGCTGTCAGTACTACGCAATATATCGTACCTATACTTAACGAGATTTAAATTTTATCTAATGAAATGAGATACCTCGTCGCCGTTCCGCGCAATGTCTTGTGCGGTCAGCATACTCGCGATCGCGTCGAAATACGTGTCCGGAGTGAAGTCCTGTCTAGGCAGATAAAGACGGTACATCTTGTGCTGCACGCTTTTCTCGCAGGGAATCGGCGAACCGTCAGGGCCGAGAATCGAGGCTGGCTCCGTGTCCACCACTATCATGTCATTTTCTGCGAGGAGCTTTTGATACGGCGATACCTCGATATCGAATTCCATGTTACAACTACCCGGTGTCGGCGCTACGGAGAGAAATAACAATTGCTTAATCAATGAATGACGCTCCGATGAATTTTCTTGATATCTCTCGATCAATTTTGCCATTACATACGCCGTCGAAAATGATTAGCTATATTCAACACATTTACGCGCGACGGATAATAGAGATGCGCCGCAAATTAATCGAATGCACATCTTGGTATGATTCGCGATTTATTTGTGCCATCGCGAACTTAACACGGTATATTTAATTTAAAAAACAAGAATTGGAAAAAAGACTGATGAGAGTCGAGCGCGATACTTAGTGCGCGTAAAGTTTAATTTTTATTCGATTCACATTAGCCTTTTTCTTGTTTATTAAAGTACGAGAGTAGTCCGTTAGTTCACTATATTTATTTAATTTAGTATAGCATATAATTTTTCGGTCTTTATCGCGTAAATATTGTCCTCTTGTAATTATTTTTATACATATAATATGGCCATTAATTTTGTATTATATTAATGGGCAGAGTGTGTTGTTGAGCGGCGTCGAATTTAATTCCAACAAATATTGCTCAAAAAGGAAAGTGTGACAAGGACAGAGGTATTATTAATATTATTTGTACTTACCATTTCGGCCGTACGTGACAATCACGAGCAATGCATCGAGATTGTGCACATTGTCGTGCTTCAAGAATACCTGTATTGGGGCTGTTACATTATGCGTTTTTAAGTACAGACCAATGTTTGAGCCAAATAAACTCCTGTTCGACACTTTATCAAATAGCGCTTCGTCGTAGCATAACGTGGCATTGTATTGAAATGTATGAATTTGTAGAATAATAAACCAAATTTCTGATGGAATATCCGTCACAGTGATGTTTAAGTGATTAAATGGGGCTAAATTTATTCGTTGTTTAAATGCGTCATTCTCACTATGATTCCATAAAGATACGGTTATTCCGGCATCGTCTGCAATACAATACGCATCGAACGTAATGAAGATAATTACAATAATTACATGGTACTTTATTATGGAAAAAAAAACGTTATTGTTTTTTTATGATTTTTAATGTATAATTAATGATCAATATATCTGATATTTGGGCTCTGATAATCGCTCTGATTCTCATTAGCCTTATTTTCATTGTGTAATTTAAATTCGAGAATCCTTTATTCTAATTTTTATTATTATTATGAAAAATTAAACATTTCAATAATTTTTTTGTATCTTTATTTATCTAATTTGCAACGCCATACAAGAGCGCGAGCGTTATGATAGATAACCTTGTTCTAAATATAAAGCAATATATAAAAAAATATATGTATATGTATAAATGTATATGTATATAAAAATGTATGCACAAACGTCAAAACATCTGTATTCTATAATAAAGTTTTAAGCAAAACGCGGTGGGAGCAATTTGATAATGTCGATATTAATAAAAATAATAACAATAATTACATAATAGTTTATTATGAGAAATCAAATATTTCTGTAATTTTTTTGTACCTTTAATGCTATTTATCTGAGTTTATGACGCGACACGACGAGAGCACGCAAATTATAGATAACCCTGTTCTAAATATAAAGCAATACATAAAAAAATGTATATCCATAAACGTCAAAACATTTGTATTCTATAACAAAGTTTTAAACAATAAAGCGCAGTGAAAGCAATTCGATGAATAGCAATTACATGTAACTAACTTATAAATCTAAAAAAATCAAATCTACTTTTTGAAATGTAATAAGAATAATTCTTATTTATTAACTGCAATCATTGATATGTAATACAGAGATCTGAATATTAGGCTAATAATTTGAACGGGATAACCAATTACCTAGACATCCAAATATTTACTCGCTATCCGAAACGTGGATAATAATATTGTTTACAATTTTGTGAGAAGTTTGAATATTAAAGTTATGTACGCTTACCAGACACTGATTCGGTAGTCGTATTTTCTAACGCCGCCGTTACGTTTCCGAGAAATAACGATAAAACTAATAGAAAAATAACAGCTTGATCCATGTCGGCGCACATCCACGTGTTTATTCGCTCCAATTGCTGTCTAAATGCGAACTGGCGCTGCGTTTTCGTTGCGACGAAGAATCTCCTTCTTTTCGTATGGATCTTGCTTTCGGGCGGGGATTTGCGTATGTCGGGTCGTAAGTCGCAAGCCGTAAAAACTGACCAGTCATAATCGAATGTTCTTCTTGCATTCGACTGTGATTGGTCAATTCTTTCAAGTCTTTCGACTAAGATAGGATGAAATGATATCTAAATACACCTGGGCGAAGTTTCTGAACTCAGCCGTGCTGTTGCCAAGGATATTACAGTATGATCTCATTGTTAATAATATAAATAAATAGTTAATAACTTTTTAATATAACTATTGCAGTTTTTCCATGCACTTAAATGCATTTCCATTATTTAACACTATAATTTTTAATGCAGTAGTAAAGTACAGAAACCTTACGAAAATATCCAGTGTCACTTTTTACAAGATATTTCACGTCAATAAATTATACTTTCAGTAGTACTAAAATTAATATACCGAAGAACCAAAAGGTATTTTCGAATTTATCAATTGGTAATACATTAAAAAATAATACAGTTGGAGAATAATAGAGGTGTGCGAATCAAGCATTTGCATGGTCAAATCGAATCAAATCGAATTTTTTAACATGTTCGAAATCGAATCGAATCAAATCTGAAATTTTCACTTCAAATCGAATCTCTTTAATTTGAATACGAATTGAATCTGAATCAAATTTCCCCAGATTAACATTACATGTTAATTTAAACGTAATAAATATCAAAATTTATGATTTACATTATTTTACGCAATGGTTTAAACAAATTGAAAACCTGTTTTCGATTTACATCTTGATTACAAGGGATTACATAATTTTATGTGACATTTTAAATTAGAAAATATTAATAATATGTATACACAAATAGTTAGAATGCTTTCGAATATTTTATTGATCTATATAAATACATTACATATATCACAAATATTTATTTATTAGATAAGAATAATTGGTCGCGCGGGAAATGTAAATGAACCAAATAAAATAAGCGATCGATTCGAAATCAAACTATTGTTAATTCAAAATTCTCAAACTATTCGATTTCGAATCTTGCAGATTCGAAAACGAACTCCATCGAATCTACTGTGATTTGATTCGATTTGAATTCGAACTATTCGCACACCTCTAGAGAATAAGAATATGCACGTAGATATATGTGTTTATTTTCCATAAGATGTCAAATATTGTTGGCGTCTGGCATCATGTTTGTCGTTAATTATTACTTTATTTAATTGTGTTTGCTACTCAAAGTATTTATACTTTATCTTTTTTTTTTTAGTTCTACAAATTCTTTATTTTCAATAAATCTTTCTACACACATACGCACAAAAAGACGCGCGCGCGCACACACATACACACGTATGTTTAGATTAGATCATTCCGCTAATAATTCTTCTATAAATGAATAATCTGAAATCTTGTGCAATCACAAATGATTGTAAGTTTTTTTTAAACTTATTAAATTTTCTACTCAGTTGCTTGCAATATTCCGAATAAATGATCAAAGAAATATTTTCTCGCAAAAACAAGAATCCAAAATTGTCTCATATAAAAAAGATAAATAAATCTCTTTTAACAATTTCAATTCCGTATTGATAAAAATTTCAATTTTATTTGAGATGAGGTTCAGAATAAAAAGTACGTATTATAATAAAAAAATGAAAAGTTTCTTTCAAACGTGTATCTCCCCATCCACAATTCATTGTCTCCTATATCTAACTCTATCCATTTTCTACTTCCCTTCCTTCTTACATGTTACTTTCTTCTTTCTTCTCCTTTCTTTATCTTTCTTTTATATTTTACTCTTGTTGTTCCGCTCTTTTTCACTTATCGCACCCATCACTTTTAACTGACAAGTTTTTATACCTTAATTCCTACGTTACAGATTGTTAAAAGAAATTTAAAATTTCACAAAAATTTTTTTCTTTTTTTTTATTCATACCGAGTTTGTTTCAATTTTACTTATTACCTTTTGGCCTGAGTCGTTATTAGGATTCATTATGGCCCCTTTGAAACCTTTCACTCTTATTCATTCATGAACTTACCGACAGTGTTATCATATTCTTGCACTTTCAAAATTAATTGCACAATGTTTTTTATTAATTATTGCGAGTAATTATCCTGACGATTTGTACATATAATTTTATTAAATATAATTCTTTATTGATTGAGAATAATTTAATGTAAACTAAAATATAATAATGTAAACGTTTAAATCATCATATGATTAATGTATTATAATTTGTAATAAGTTTTGATTTTATTTGCACTAACCGTATCTGGCTCATTGTTCTCTATTGGTTTTTTATTTAAATTTTAATATTTGATATTATATTCTAATATTATAATACATATATTATATATAATATTATAATATTAAATATTATCAAATATTACTACATATAAACCTCTTTCTCTTTTCTCGTATTTAATATAATAATTATTATAATTTAATATTGAATTATTAGACAGAGAAAAACGTATATTCGCATCCACACAACAGTCTTGAATCACATCAGAAATATACGTATACGTTTCTAAATATACATTTTTTCGGCCTTACTGTACATCTACGATTACGACAGACGTAAGCGCTTACGTTTCGTTCTCTGCCATCGGTCTCAGTCTGCTCATAACTTCTAAACAGAACTGTTGCCAGTCTGCTGACAGTGTATTTTACTATCCACTTGTATACATTTGCAGTTGAACGTAATTTTTATACACTTCTACGATCAATCCAGGTGAGAAGATCAAGAATAGAACATTTTTATAATTTTATAAGCTCATGTATGTCAAAGTAAAACCGTTGCTTAACCTTCTCTTTAGTATCTGCAATGCGTAAGTGACTTGGCACATTCAATATATACAGAGTATAGATACGCAGTTAATCATGTCATAATAAATGTATTATATAAGTATATTTATGGAACACTTAAATTAGTATTTTTCATTACTTATTGTAATACACTGACTGATGCATACTCATTGTAGGGCTTCTTTTATATTAAGACACACACATAGGCAGGCTCTTATAGCAACGAAACACGTGTATTCGATGTGAAGTGTTTATTCGATAACGTTCGGTACAGATCTGCTCTTTGTAAATTCCGCTGACTCACACACTCCTCAAGTTCACACACACACACGCCATCTCTATCTACTACACTACTCGCAATCAGTCATCGCTATGCGCGTTTTACATCAGTTTGGCGTTTTTCGATTAACGCACAAACAGGATACAACAAAACTAAGCTCAGATAACACACAATCGTACAAATATTAAACTCATAATCGTCCACTGTATGTCCGTCACAGCTCACAAGGAATATTAAATTATAATATATAACCTGCCACATATAGCAAAAGTGAATGTAGCTGTATTAACATTAGCTATGATATAAGCCTAATTTATATCAAATATAGCATTATATTTAAATCGCTTTATCTAATATCTACTGTAAAATATATGTAACAGAATTTAATGTCAGCTATCTACATATAAGTCTACTTTAAAAGTAAGGTAGCAAAAAAGGAAATTTTTATTTATTTTTACATAATTATGTACACTGCTCAAAAAAAATTATGACATAGAAAAATTTTAAGCAAAAATTGATCAACTTTAGCTAACGGTAATTCCGCGAAAAATCTTCGTAGGATGATAAACTTTCCTTTAATAAAAGCTTGAAATCTTTACTTTAAGGTACTTCGGGTAATGGCAACCATACATGAGAAAAATAAAGATATTACTTTAAAATGGTGTAATTTAGTGAAAAAAATCGTAGTGACTTGTTTTTCTTCTTAAATTAAAGAGAAAGTTTCAAGTTTTATGATGCTGTAAGCCACATTTTCGAGAAAAATTTTTGCAAGTCCATACATGCCGTCAAACTTTGCAATTTTCAGTATGGCAAACATGCTCTCAGATTTAAGAGTTTACAGTAGAAGGGGTGCATTAAATTTAAAATCGACCTACAGCACTTTAAGAGATTTCAAGCTTTCATTTGAAAAAAGGTCATCATCATACGATCATTTTTCGCGGAGTTATCGTTAACCAAAGTTGACCAACTTTTACCCAAAATATTTCCATGCCATAATTTTTTGAGCAGTGTATTATTACTTTTTAGAATTTATTTTGTGTTCGCATATTTTCCATTTTATTAATTACAATTACGCATTGGTTTATAATTTTTGAAAATGCTTCGATGATATTCGAACTTAAAATCTTTAGAATAACAGGTTTATACGCTAACGCTGAGTTAATCTGATTACTTTAGACAAATTAATTCATGCTATAAATATTATTACACTGCTTATATCTTTTTCCAAATGTAATTAGATTGAAACATTATTGCATTGATTGGTTATTATAGTATGTTACTAATTTTGTTTAAAAAATATTATTGAATATCAGTATACTGTATTTACTTTTTAATTTTAACTTTATCGGACAAATTATATTCTACCGTAATATTCTAGAAATCTAATTTCATTGCCTATATATTTTTCCAAAAATATTTCATTGATTGTGATATTATGTTCCGTTCTAATACATTATTATACATATCAGTATTTGCGTTTTGAATATGTTTATGGTAATCACTACTTATACATATAACTACCAACGTAATGTAGATTCTTTTATTATAACATATTATACTCTTCAATTATTTAATGTCTACCATATTTCACGTTAAAGTACATAAAATATCGGTGAAGCATTATATACATAATTTTTTCTACTTATCACTAAAGATAAAATACTACAAAATAACTAATTACAACTTATATATTGCTATAAGTCTACAAGATAATTGAAAAATACAAACCATGTTTTCTAAGGCAGTTTATTACTAAGATAGTTTATCCTATCTGTGCTATATAGGTAATGTATATAAAAAATTCATTAATACATTAGTAACACTTTGATCATCGGAAAATTTCCTTGACAAGTTCATAATTACACATGTAACTTTGAATTGCAAATATATTGGAATGTCTTGTTATATTTACTCCTTTTCATATCAACAGCTTCTCATTAAATATTTTTTTCAATATTATTTTTATAAACAATGTTAGATAATAATGCCGAATAGAGGAACCCTCTCCGCTGACCTTGACTTTGACATATGTTGTCAAGGTCACGATCCTAAATGACTATCAAGAGGTTTTAGCCGTCGCTCGTTATTCAATTAAAAGTTATTAACAGAAAAGTAAACAAAAAATATCTTAAGTGGGGCGACCGGGGGGGGGGGAGGCGAGGCCCCCACCAAGCAGGTAGAATGGTCGCAGGCGGTGAAGGGGGTACAGCCTCTGCTAATAAGCAATTTTATCCGATGTTATTTATAAATGCTTTCCGAATAGGCACAAGCATCAAATTAGCATCAGATTACGCGCGATTAGTAATTTGTGATTCGCTATTCGCTATTAGTATAAGATTTTCAGAAATTCATTGATAGCGGATATGATTCTCTCTGGCTTGCAATTCGTAATTTGTCATTCTTGATTCCTTGACGCTTCATAATAGTAATTTCAACAAAAATATATTTTTACTTTAACAATTCTTGTCTTCTCCAGAGTCTATACTTATAGAAACATTCTTTTATGATTTCTACAAATATAAGAATGCGATTATGTATTTACTCACAGGATTTCATTACGAAAAATTGGGTAAAACTTATTTACCAGAATAATCACTATTATAACAATTAAAAGTTCATAACACTAATTAACATTCTCAATTTTTGAGTACGTATGTATAAAAATAAATATAAATCTTAATGCACAGTATATGCGCTATACGCAAACAAATATTATACAAGAAGATTAGAGAATATTAAAGAATATTAAAGAAAAATCTACTAATTCATGATAATTCGCATCTTTTTACTTCGTCAAAAAACCGATCTTGCTAATCGATTAATAAACAACAAACTCAAAAAATTTGCCTCTTGACAATTTGAATGAATTAAACATAAAAAGCAAATTGAAAATTACGAATTAAGGACATATAAATTAACACACAATTTAGCTTTAGTAACACAGAAGAAATTTACTAACTAATATTCTTATAAAAACTTATTTAACATAATAGTGTTTTAAAAGAAAATTGTTTTTTCTCTCTATTTCAGATTCGCAATGGTACTTGCGGAAATAATCGGGGCTTCCATCATTGTTCTAAGCATTGTATATATTTATTACAAGTTTGTAATATTTAATTTCTGGCGCAAAAGGGGTGTTTTTTACGTCAAACCCGTTGTGCCAA